CAAGCAGGTAGCTTTAGTGTGATTCCATTCAATGTTACATGTGAGTGATAGGTCAGAATACGCAAATTTGTCTTTCGCCCGACTGGAATGCATGAGCCTATGACAGAACTATGCGGCATGCCCATGCAGCAGGCACGCACATGGCCCGTCTCAGAGGAGAGCGTGTTGGTTACTGCAGGCTTTAGCCTTGGAACTCGGCTGATTTTCTCGAACAGTAGATTTTCCCTGTCTGGTTGGCTGAATGCCAACGCCGCTTCGCAGGCGCAGAGGCAGAATAAAACCGGTAAAATTTCTGGGTATTATATCGTGCTAGCACTCAGCTCGTGTCGGGACGCTGCTCACCCAGATAAATGCGAAGATCAATTCTTTAGCTCGGTTCACCCTGCGATCATCAAGGGATCACTTTCGCCAAAATTATTTAAACGAAAAAGAAATACGTGCCATAATAAATCTATTTCTCACGTAAAAGGGGCTTGAGACTTTTGATTACGGTGAGACGTTTGCAGTCAACTTAACCAAATTAGAAAATCCCCTTTGTATTTGCCATAAATTCCTTCGTCCGAGCGGCCCTGTATTCCGTAAAAAGACTAGGTCTTGGCCGAACATGACAGCTATTTACCAAGTAAAAATATTTGCATATTTTCAGACAAGTGCGTTAAGTATCTGCCGACCGCTTGTTAAAAAGACACGAACAAAAACCCCAAAATAGAGAGTGAACATTGGATTTTATCCATATTCAACCATTTACAACTTCTGCCTTGTATAACGCCGTGAAATACTAGTGTAGTTTGTAGTTTGTGCATGTATGGTCACAGAGGCATCTATGGTGGAATGAGGGCGGCCAAATCAATGTAGAACGAAGTGGTGTCGTTATTGGAGAATTTACCTTAGCCTTGAATTTAACGCTTAGTTTTCCGCCGGTTGATAGTAATATCAAAACGGCTAATTAGTAGGACAAAAAAGGGGGAACACAAGCTGTGTACACCCTTTACGCCCTAACACGCGTATGCAAGCCACTGAATAGAGTCCACACTGCGTGTTATGCGACCGCCACGTTTCAGGCGACCTAACCTCTGTTGCAGCGGCCAGAATTCCGCCCGCTAATTTCGATTAACCTCCCTAAGTTGTTTACTCCGAAAGATGTTTTGTCTGAGATGGCAGCATGTTTCTACATTATACTTTTTCCGAGATGATCGGAGCCTAATAGTGGAGAAATTTTTGACATTTTGTTTAATTAACTGGTTGCTGATTTATTGTTGATAAGTTATCAATGGTGTGTGGATAAAGCCAACGAGAGAAAAGCACAGCTAGGAGCAGCGAAGGCAAGACTCTTAACAGGGAAAAGATAAGCTCATTAAATTTGTCAAATTGCATCCTTTTTGAACACCGTTTAGCCAGCAAATTAGTGTGTGTCAAGTCGGTAATGTTTCCGCGAGGTTGTTTTTCATTTCGGGAACAAAACGAATAAATATTGAGGAACGTAGGGCCTCACATCCGGCCGGTAGGTGGAAACCAGACGATTTCTTGTGATGGGAACCCAAGATCCTGCACTTTCCAAACTACAATATCTCTTAACTCTACTTAAATGACAAAGTTTGAGGAAGGTTTCGTCCAATTGAAAATTAAGGACGCACTTAGAAATGAGATTTAGGAAGTCGAATGACTGATGACAAATTAAGGCTAGTCCACAGTTTCAGTAATTTAGGGACAACGAGATCTCGGAGTTCAAGTAAAGCAGCCATATTCGATAATTGATATGTGTTTCGAGCGGGAATGGTTCTTTTCTGTCACGGCGACAGTTACTAGTCTTTATGTCTGATTTTAGCGAACCACAGAAGATAATAACAACAGAAATTTAAAGCAAGCAAGGAAGTCCACTTGGTCCAACCCTTGCCGACATTTTCATGGGCCACTTGGAAGAAAAGTTCTCAGCAAAATTGAATAGGAGAACACTGTACAAAAGATATGTAGACGACATTTTTGCTATTGTTGATAACGACGATGAAGCCGAAGACCTACTTGTTGCCATGAACAGTCTCCATCCTAAGATTAGATTCACAATGGAAAAGGAGCGATGCAACAAGCTTTCTTTCCTGGTTGTCCTCATGACTAGACAGGATGATGGTTTAATAAGGCGATTTGTTTTCCATAAAGATACATGGAAAGGCCAATATCTGCACTATCTGAGCTTTGTGCCGATACAACGAAAGCGAAATTTTGTTTATACTCTATTCCAAAGAGCAAGAAACATTTGCTCTATTGAAACGCTGGATGATGAAATTTCTTGCCTCAAAACAGCCCTGCTTAAACGGGGATATCCAACGCGATTCATTGAAAGGTACAGCAACACTTTACGGCCAAAATTGACGGAGCAATCTGTTCCGAAAAAGCCCGTTATAATATCCTTACCCTTTAAGGGCGACAACATCTCTAATACCATTAAGCGGCGATTGAGATGCACCATTGAAAGAACTTACAACTCAACTGAACTCATATTCTGCAGTCCTACTAAGGCTATCGAAGTTCCACGGGCGAAGGATGCCTTGCCATTGCACGCCACGTCAAATTGTGTTTACGAATTTACATGCACTTGTGGATGCAAGTACATCGGGCGAACGCAAAGGCAACTGGCAGCTAGAGCTGTTGAGCACCTGCCTAAATGGCTTCTAAAGCAGGAGAATAAGATTCCACGGTCTTCTATTATAAAACATCTCCTTGATAGTGGCCATTCGGTTGACCCCAAAACGTCTTTTCGAGTATAAGTTCGAGCACGAACAACTCGGTTAGTGCGCTACCTGGAGGCAGCCTATATACGGCGGGAGAAACCCGACCTATGTAAACAATTAGACCATGTGGTCAACCTCAGCTTGCCCTGGTAGACCTGAGCCCTTTTGATTTTCAAAATCCCTCAGCATGTTTACTTCCCCATTTTCATTCCTCTTTGCATTTTGAAGTTGTCATTTTATTGATTAGTCCACGCGCAGTATACGTTGACCTTGCTGTTTTATATCGATTTTCTCTGTCGAAATTCAAACTTATGTACATTTCTCACTTGTTATTTGTGTTATGCAACGACAGGCTGCAGTTGAGAAGTCGTCGCGAAATTTTCTGGTACCATTAAATCTTGCTGTCCTTGCTTGCTTTAAATCCATTCCGGGGAACTACTGCTTCAAACAACAGAAATGTATTTCACATGTTAGACTTATG